TGATGCATAAAAAATGACACTATCAGTGTTATATCAATTAAGATCAACGTTGATTACCAATAATTAGATAACGGTGGGTTAGGTGAAAGCGGTGGTAAATATTACAATAAATATGAAAACAGATAGAAAGAGGTTTCATCACTGGTTGTCTAGAAAAGCTATGTTAAGAAAGAGGTAAAATAGAAGATAAACAAAAAGAAAAGGTAATCAAAAATAAAATAACCAAGCTAATTGATTAATATACGTGATAATATCAATTCAATCATCTATATATTAATTAGAAAACTCACCTACATAATTAGATGACAGAGCGTCACTGAATTATTAAAAAAATACAAACATAAGATGTCAATTATTATTAGAGCAAGTTGGCTTTCTAACCAGATTCACAGTCAACTGTTTTACTCTAGTATGTGGATGCTCTATCGTACAATCTGTTATCAACTCAAACACAAATAAATGCTTCATGTTTAAACCAATTTGCAGAATATTAAAGGCGTCAACATTGATTACATGTGATTTTTGCCAATATTACAAATGAAAAGCAGATAATGAGTTATTAATTTATGTAATAAAGTAGATAATTTTTTCATCAGTTACACCAAATATTTTTTTCAGAGAAATTTTCTTTGAAATTTTTCAATCTTAAAATTTTATCGGAAATTTCATCAGATTCTCAATAATCTAAGTTTAACATAACAATTCTTACTCAAATAAGATTTTTTTAAGAAATTGTTTATCAAGCTAATAAATAGTTACCAATATCTTAATTAGGTTTGTCGTTAAAGGAACGTGCTAACGGCACGCTGCAATGATATTAATAAAAGCCATGTTTCGGGGTCTACTTCGGTAAAAAACTAGTTAAAGCAATAACTAGAGGTGAGACGGTTAGGACTTAGGGTCCTACTAATAATAACCAACAACCAATTCGATAATAAAACGAGTTTTTCAACTTTTTAAGCCTTTTAAAACATAATATCAACCATAAGATTTAATTTAGTGAACTTTTGACAATTTAAAAAAACACAATATTAAAATTAAAATAACAGATATTTTTGAAATTTGCAATCTCTCGAAATATTTACTCCTTTTCTGATTGGGAATACATGAAAACAATTGAAAGAAGTCATGGAAAAAAATTAATTCAAAGAGATGACGTATCTTAAAAATATGACAATAATTATTATATTCACATCAGAACAAAAATTTGCAAATTTGATTCCATGAGTAACTATCGATTTCAAATAAATTACATTTATTATTTATCTTCTTCTAATGAGTACA